TAACAAGGCCGGACCCTGATTGGCTTTTCAAAATCAGCCAAGGTCAGCTAGGTTCTGCCACTTAGCTGGGCTTTGACTGCATTTCCTTCATTTCGATTCATGTTAAGGTACATCAGATGAAATGAAATAAAATCAATGTCCTGGGTTCTGCCCATTTTTTGGCCTCTGGAGCACCACTTAGATGAAAAATGTAGTCTTTGGCCTGAAAAAGATGGTGCCCTCCTATAACACAGGTGGCTCCTTGGCCACTGGATTTCTGCAAAAGGCTGTCTGCTCCTTTCCTTTCAGAATACACAGAATTTAGGCTGAGCTGATTCTTAATTCGGAAGTAGAGGGAACTGCTCCTTTGAGATTTGATTTGCAAAACAGAGTACCTCCAGCAGAAGGGCCGAGGTGCTAACTTAGCAATTTTTTTTTTACACTTGAAGGGTTTCTTAATTTTTTTTTATTAAAAGGTTTACAAAGCATGTAAAAACTAACACAAACTAATAAAGAGTAAAAACAGTAAAGAAGAAAGGAAAGAAGAGAGAGAAAAAGCAAAAGTGCAGGAAAAAAGAAAGAAAAAGTAGAAAGAAGAAGCTTCTGATTTCCTTTGCAGCAAATATAAGTGCAATTGCCAAATTAACTCTTATCTATGATTACGGGAAAAAAGCTCACTTTTTTCTATTATCCTTTTTTTTTTTACTAATCATCAAAACCATAAATAATAAGTGCCTTTTTTTTCCATTTCATGCAAAAGTCTATAAGAGGTTTCCAGTCAACCATAAATGTAGATATTGTTTTTTCTCTGATCAAAGAGGTTAATTTAGCCATCTCCGCAAGTTCCATCGTCTTCACCAACCAATCCTCCCTTGTGCGTAATGTTGAACTTTTCCACTTTTGAGTATATAATAGTCTTGCTACAGTAGTCATATATAAAAACAAAGTTCCATGTTTTTTTTTTAATCATTTGTCCATCACCCAAAAGAAAAGTCTCTGGTTTCAGTTGTACTTTAACCTTTAAAATCTTCTGAATTCATGGATTTGTATCCAAACTTTTTTGCCTTTTTTACATGTCCACCAAACATGATGAAATGTCCCTTCATGTTTACACTTGAAGGGTTGATGTGTATGGAAGTTTCATAGGAAGCTCTTCTAGATCACAAGGCACCTTGTGATCAGTGGCAAAGAAAAGCCCCATTGTGAGGATTGGATGGTGAATGTCACAGAGCGCTTGCTTCTGCCCTGGAAATGTTTATTCAAAACTCCTATTTTATTACCAAGTGGGATAGCCTGCCAGTATTACTAGACACATATCGCTGGGGGGTAAGGTTGTGGCACGGAACGACTTGATCTGCCACTTAGCCAATATCTTACAATACTTAGAAACTATAATAAATCAAGTAAACAAACAATTATTGCTGGGACATGTTAGTCACTTATTGTTAATGCCTCCCCAGGCAATGCATAATCAAGTAAAATCAACACAAAGAAACCATCAATTAAATACAGCCAAGGCGGAAATAACTTTGGAGGAAAAAAAATACAATAGAGCTTGTTATGGTCCATTGAATCAACCGTGCTTCTTGATGACCGCGGGAAGTCCCTGCAGTTTTCTTGGCAAGATTTTCAGAAGTGGCTTGCCCTTGTCGTCGTCTTTTTCCTAGGGCTGAGGGAGAGGGACTGGCCCAAAGTCACCCAGCTGGCTTCGTGCCCAAGGCGGGACTATTACTCAGTATTCTGGTTTCTAACCCAACACTTTCAACTGCTCTGCCAAATTGGCTCACTTTTACTTTGGAGATAACCTATTTAAAAACACAGTATGACGGTAGAAATAGACAAGGACTGAAAGGCAAAAATACGAACTGTCTGGCACCAAAAATATAACCAAGGGTTAAGCTTCACCCAACTTGCAAGAATGGAACTCCTTTGGGCGTGCTCACAAGAAGTCCAAGAACTTACACTTTTTTTTAAAGAAAGTTTGTGAATTCAAATCCAGAAGAATTCACTGGCCATGTGAGAAGTCCCTCTCCCACAAAATAGTCATCAGGCAGGCCTGTTGTCAAGTAGCTACTTATCATAACTTGATATGTGAAGGTAGAGAGGGGATGTCACGGGGCTCAGTTAGAAATAGATGGGAAGAAGCACTCCTCCAAGGCATAAGAAGTCTGTAAAATTTTGCACCAGCACTTTGAACTGGTCTCAAAAACAAACTAGGACCCCATAAGAGGGGTAGAATAATGGTATAATATAGACAACATGCTCAATTCCAGTCAGGAGCATCACATCCATCTGTTGTCCTCAGACTTAGCATCCTGTTCAGCTACCAAAGTACGTGTTCCTTTGGTAAGGCTGTGTCGATCCAGGTACAGCCAAGGCTGATGTATCAGCTTAAGACGATAAAAGACACTCCAAAAATACTTGTGTTTCTAAAGACCAAGATGGATCTACAAGGTGTACATCTTTATCCTTAGAAGTATGCTGTTTTTTAGAAAGCTCAGATCGTTTGACACAGAGATCTGAATGTCCCCACCTTAACAGCAAGGTTAAATGATTCCTAACTGCAACCTAGCAAATGCGTTCTGCAGTAATTGCAGCATCAAAGCCATCTTCATCCTGGTTTCTTTTTGGAAGAAGATTGTTACATACGTAAGTGGATGAATGGATAAATGTTTTCCTGTTGAAGATGCGAATGCTGTTTTGAAGTATATTCTGAAATGATAGGATTTGACAATTTTTTAGGAACTTTCATTAGGGTGAGGAATAGCCGAGAAAATTATATTGAGTTTCCACCTGCTTAGCTGTCTGCAGGTAGGTTCCATCCACCTCGGTTCTCATCAACCCAATTAAAAGATCCTGCTGGCTGGAAATTCATAGCATTGCCATCCTAGAACATCTGGAGGGCAGATTAGGGAAGTCAATAACCCCCTTCCTCTCTAAGAAAAAAAATACATCCTTAGCAAAGCAGTCTTTGATGTTCCAACTGATTGCTCTGAACTCCTTCCCTTTCTCTTCCTCTCTTTCTTTCCAGGGTATTTAACCATGCCGAAAGTTGTTGCTATTTCTCACTATGCTGGGACCATGCTACTATTGTTAGCTGGGATTGCCTGCCTGAGAGGTGTGTACTTTGAGGGGTCTGAAGGTGGGGTGGTAGGCCTACTGACTCAGGAAGCTATAATTTGACTAGATATGGAGAATATGGGATCTGGTCTCTATGTTTGTTCAATTGTATCTAAGCCCTGGAGGAATTTCTGTTCTAAACGTCAACAGTGAAGGGAGGTGAGAAGATTGCAGGTGGGAGATAACACAACAGAGATGAGTGTGATAGAAAGAATAGTTGTAGTTTTTATGAAGACTGACGGGTTGAATGTTTGGGGAGAGATTTGAAGAGAGAGAAAGGAGGTAGCACCACATAGGTGTCCTGGGTGGGAACTCCAAGCAGAATGGACCATTCAGGGCTTCAGTCAACTGAAAGGGTTGTTGCTTCTTTTCAGGCATCGGACGTTGGACAAACCCTCAGTACATCCAGTTCATTACCATCCTTGAAGATGCTCACCGGTATGGCACATCTGAACACAAGGTAAAGATAGCTGTGACTTACAGATGCTGTCCTGATCAGCTCCTTAAGTCTACTGCAGTTTCCTGACTTAGGAATCTTTGGGCCTCTTGGAATATCAGTGGGGTCAGATGTAGCATAATAGCCCCAGATATACTTTCCATGTATTCGGTTCTTTCACCTGTTAAAAGATCTGGGATGCCTGAATTGGAAAAGCCTTCCTGTTGTTAACATAGCTTAAGACTGGAACATTCTTATTGTTCCATAAAATGTGGGCTCCCTAACCAACAATTAGACAGTGTTTGCATTGCAGAGATGTTTAACCAGGGACCCTAGAATTGCATGTCACCCCCATGAACTTACAGCCCTCCAGAATCTATCACAGATTACCATAATCTACTTTCTCTCTGTGACAGAACGGAAAGATGTGATTAGAGAGTAATCATATTTGCTGTTTTTAGTTTTAAGTAAATGAAATGAAATCAAAGTCCAAGTATAGTCATAACCCAAGAACAGTTTTATTGTATGTTGGCTGTTGCTCACATTTATTGGTCAACCTTCAGCCTTGATATTCATTTTCTTTATAAAAAGACTCAATTGTGGGTGGTTTGAATGTTGAAAAAATGTTGCCTGTACTTTGTTGTACATTCGTCTAGATCTGTTAGAAGATTCTTTGAACCTAGGAAAGGAACCTGCGTAAGCAATTTAAATAAGGAACGTTTATTTCATGGCCATACTTGATATGGAAGGATGTTGACTTTAGAGGTTGCATTAATCTCACACCTCATGCTGTTTCTCATACTCTTCTCTTTCTCATTATACTTCACAGAAGAAACTTGCCAGCTACAATTTTGACTTCAGGAGCTGGCCTGTAGACTTTCGGTGGGACGAGGTTACAAGTCGGTGAGTTGACAGTAGGGAATCGTTCTATTCTGCCATTCATTTTCTGTTATTGCCCCTCCTTTCGGGTAGAAAGAGAAAGCTTGGCTGCTGTTCACGGTATTATGGGGTGACAGATGTGAATTGAATGGAGAAATGCAGAGAAAAGCTTGCTGTTGCAAACATTGACAAGACGTCTTGTACGTTTGTATGAATAGCATAGGTGGGGATTTATATATTGGGTACTAGAAATTAAATAAAGAAATAATCAGCGTGCGTAATTTTCGAGTGAGCTTTGGCAATTTGCAGGATATCCTTTACTCATTCGTTCGTTGGTTCAATCTGCATGGCTGCCCAGCTTTTTTAGCAGCAGCCAACCATATCTGAAGGTTATGTCCTCTGTCTGGACAATGTATGCCATTCTTTATTCTCCCAATATTCTCTGCAATCCCTGGACAATGTGCAGAAGGTTCTGGCTTTGATGTGCTTTCCCTATTAGTCTTGGGAAAAAATCCACACAGGCTTTCCCTTTTGAGATAAATTAATCTGTTTTATAATACCTGCAGGTCAGATTCAGGAAATGTCCCCTTGTTGCGGTCAGAACCAAAGCATCGAAGTGCAGTCAATGGTTTTCTCCATGCTGTCAAGAAGCTCCCCTGCCAAATTGCCAGGTATATGTCTTGCTCGTGTTTTAGCCTTTGTGAAGGAGGTTAAGCATGGCTGAGAGTATAGGAAAATTGTGTAATTTAAGGCAGATATCAAAGACTAGTTGAACTTATGAATATCTGCATGCCTATTCAGTACCACCCCAAAGGCTAACGTGTTTGCACTGTGACATATTAGGTAAAAGTAAAGATTTCCCCCAAGTTGAACTTGACTTTTGATGATTATACAGATATGTCTGTTGTTTCTTGGAAACAATATGGAAGTGGTTCGCCAATACCTTTGTGTGTGTGTGTAGTGTGTGTGTGTGTGTTTGCCCAGGATTGAGCTTGCATATTTATTTTTGTTGTATAGTGACCATCTATACAACATCTTAACACAATGGATATCCACACAACTTTGTCAAGAAGTGCCTGACTACCCAACCCACTACAGCACAACCAACACAAGCTACAAAAAGGATAACACTGCCATGCATCGAAAACAACCAGCAGACTATTACAACAACACAGCATCACCATGGCACACAAACCAACTAAAGCCCTCCAAAACATCTTAAGTAAACCAAAAGACCCAGTTGCCTGGGAAGAAAAAAACAGGAGTCATCTACAACGTACAGTGTAAGGACTGTAACAACCACTATGTAGGACAGACAGGCAGAAGACTAGCAGAGCG